CGATACATCACAAAAGCGAATGGCGACGCGCACATGATATCTCCAGTCTACTTCGGGCGGATGATGCAGAAATGCGCGCGTGAACCCGGGAGGCGGAGCTTGCAGTGAGCTGAGATCAGGCCACTGCACTCCAGCTGGTGACAGAGCGAGACTCCGTCTCAAAAAAAAAAAAAAAAAAAAACAAAATACACCTTTTACTGTGAATGAAAACACATAATACTTACATATTCCAGACACAAAGACTGGAAATTTTTTAGAACTGCTGAGAAAAATTAAAGATGACTTAAATAAATGGAAAGAAAAAGCATATTCATAGATTAAAAGATTCAATTTTGTTAGGATTCCATTCTCCCTAAACTGATCTATATCATCCCACAAATAAAAGACCACAACCACATCCAGAGGATTTCACTAGAGAATTCTAAATATATATTTAAGAATTCAGTGCAATCCCTATCAAGATCCAAGGAGGCTTTTTGTAGAAGTTGACAAGTAGATCCTAAAATTTATATGGGAATGCAAAGAACTTTCAGCAGCATAAACGATTTTGAAAAAGGTATACCAGCCAGGTGCAGTGGCTCACGCCTGTAATCCTAGCACTCTGGGAGGCCAAGGCGGGCGGATCACGAGGTCAGGAGTTTGAGACTAGCCTGGCCAGTATAGTGAAACCCCGTCTCTACTAAAAATACAAAAAATTAGCTGGGCGTGGTGGTGTGCACCTGTAGTCCCAGGTACTCGGGAGGCTGAGGCAGAAGAACTGCTTGAACCTGGGAGGCAGAGGTTTCAGTGAGCCAAGATCGCGCCACTGCACTCCAGCCTGGGTGACAGAGGAAGACTCCGTCTCAAAGAAAAAAAAGAAAGAGAGAAAAAGGTGTATCTAGCTGGAGGGCAGACCCTATCCCATTTTCCTAAACTTACCATAAAGTAGTTGTCAAATGCACTATGGGTGTAAGGACCGACACAGAGATCAAATGAACAGAATAGAACGTCCAAATATAAACTCTTACATTTATAGTCCATTCATTTTCAATAAATGGCCAAGGCAATTCAATAGGGTACTTCTGACAAAACAGTACAGAGACAACTGGATCTCTACCTATGCTGAAAAGGTGAATTATACCCTCACCTCACAATAAGCAAATGTTGAGTCAAATGGACCACAGAATCTAAGAACTAAAATTATAAATCTTCTAAAAGAAAACAGTGTTGTGTTAGGCAAAGTTTTCTTGGCTAAGACATCAAAAACATTACACATAGAAGAAAAAGCTGGTAAGGAGATGTGGTCAGACTTCCCAGATAGACCTTTCAACATCACCTTTACCATCTGAGTGTTACATTTATATTACCTAATAAATCAGTCAAGCACTTTGACCTTCATTTGTTCTTTCAGTTAAAAACTGCTTATTATTATTGTATTATTATTATTATTTTTTAAACAGAGTCTTGCTTTGTCACCCAGGCTGAAGTGCAGGGGCACAATCCTGGCTCACTGCAACCTCTGCCTCCCGGGTTCAAGCAATTCTCGTGCCTCAGCCTCCCAAGTAGCTGGGATTACAGGTGCCCACCACCATGCCCAGCTAATTTTTGTATTTTTAGTAGAGACGGGGTTTTGCCACGTTAGCCAGGCTGGTCTTGGATTCCTGGCCTCAAGTGATCCACCCACCTTGGCCTCCCAAAGTGCTGGGATTACAGGCGTGAGCCACTGTGCCCGGCCAAAAACTGGTTAAGCATCTATTTATGAAATTCTGAGAAAAAAGGCTAATAAGGTACCCTCACCTTTGGCTAACAGAAAAACAGATAATGAATAGGAAAAACAAATCTTTCCTGAAATTTTAATACTCCACTATTTTTTTTAACTCCTCTCTTTGCTTCTATACAGACAAAAAAGGCCTCCATAGAGCTGCTATGGGGTGTTGCGAAATCCAGATTGATATTTGAGCAAGAAAAACAAGATTCAAATGGAGATTTTAAGTATGCCTTGATTCTCTTCAGTTCTAACCTTCAGAAATTATGGGAAACAGAATAATTTTGTATTCAGTAATGTTCACGTTTAGAAAAAATATACACAGAAAAAGAGATACTTGGCAAAACAGAAAGCAAAGTCCTACCTGCTGTGTTGGGTAGGATGGGGGTGGACTGTCTGCTTTGCTCTCCTCTGTCCTGGGACTCCTGCTTCTCAGCACTCCATCTTCCTTCGGGACCCCTGGGGGTTCCCCACTACTCTCGCCGTCTGCTTCTTCATCATCAGCTTCTGAGGAACTACTACTGGTACTGCTTATCTGAGGAGACTTTAAAGACAATCGTTTGTAATTTGCACTTTTCAAAACAGAGTAATATAAAAAATTAAAATGTCAGACCATCATTTTATGTCATTTATTGCTGCTACGAAGAAGCCATGTCCATACCTCATCCTTCAGGGCCATGTTTTCCCCGCCACCATTCAATTCGCTGTGGATTCCATTCATGTTGGCCACCACCTCAGTATCATCATAATTACTCAATGGATAAATATCAGCAAATTTGGCTGACAATGGTGCAACATCTTCATCATCACTACAACTGACACAAGCAGAGATGGGCACTGTGAGGTCATCCAATCGTGAAGGACGGTGAGTAAACCAGTCACTAAGCACAGATATTTCCTGGACAGATCACTGCTTTCATTTACAAAGAGTATCAGTTAAGTATCATTCATGCTACTAACATGTCTTAGTAACCTGAACATCACAAAAATGCTTGGAAGATTAACATTTGCTAATGTTAATTAACATTAACATAACACAATGTAACATCTGGAAGAACAAAAAACAAACAAAAAAACCTCCGAAAGTAGAAATATCAAGGAAACTACAAAAATTTAACCAGACTGATTGACATAACGTTTCCATTTGACCTGAAGAGTGCTAGTATAAAACTAGTCTCTCTGCTACTCCCAAGCCAACACAATTTAGGGGTACAGATGGCAACCTTAGGTGTTTAGTGTTTGCTTTTTTAACCTTAGCTGTTTAGTGTTTGCTTTTTCAACTTAGGGCTGAAATTTTCAGAAATAGTTGAACAAAACTTTAAAGGCACTTATGTAACAGAAGACTATTTTTTTTTTGCTTTAAGGTCAGTCATGGCCTGGTCACTAATGATCATAATTAAACATCAGCTTTAGCAAGACATCTAAGCAACAGGCAAATGAAAAATTTACTGAAATTAATTTTAAACAGATTTCAAGGCTTTAGCCTACAGAGACTACTTAAGATGTATAATCTTCTGGTGCATTAAAAGAACTGGAACATTCAAACTCAGTGCAAACAGATGCTCCAAGGTCCACAAAAACATGCACTGAGTCCATCTTCAGCCTGGGCACACAGCAACCTCCAGAAGGCAAAACCGTAGGAACTCGCTGTGATCTCACTTCCTACAATGAGTGAAGAGTGTCCAGGACTACCAAATTCAGGTGTCTTTTCAACACATTACAAGTAACGTGCTAGAGTCTGGAGCTCACCAGAGGGAAGTACAAACAGCACCCACAAGGTGTAGAGTCCTAGGGCTTTCCTGCAGGCCCACTGCACCTGGGACACTGCCTGGGCCAATGCTCACACACACTCCTGAGGATGACCACCAGCACCATTTACAGATGAGAAAACTGAGGTTCAAGTGAAGTAACTCAGCCATCTGCTCCATGTGACGGCAGGAGGCTTCACTAGCCCTAGTTCCATAAAGATCCAACCCATAAGGTCCAAGAAGTACTGTGGTACAGTGACTACAATCACATTGTTCTTTTTAACCAACTTAGAAAAGGCACCAAGAAAGAGACAATATAAACCAAAAGATAACAATGGAGATTTTCAAATCATAGTTTACGTCTGGAAGACACTGATCACAAGCTGCTGAAGGCCCAGATGCCCTGAGAACCTAGCCTCCTGGTAACTGGTGATGGGCAGTTCCGGCCCAAGGAGAAAGGCTCCCACAGCCAATTTCTTCCACTACCACGTGTGGCACAAGAGACCATAACTGACATCAGCAGCTGTGACAAATGAACAGGGACGAAATTTTCCATCTTAAATTTTCATTAGGCTATATATGTTTAATTTTTATGTTTCAGTAAGAAGTTGGATAACAGCCAGCTGCAAAAATGTCAACACTCTTGTGCCCTGGAGAGAACACAGTGTCTCTAAGGCAATAAACAGCAGCTGCAATCTTTGTATGAAGAGAGTCAGTCAGTTTAAACCAGTCCTTTAAGAATTATTTTGTCTGAGAACAAGCCCAAATTGAAACTGGAAAGACTGAAGGAAAACGCCAGTCACCATGAGAAATCGAGACGGAGGGAATGAACACAAGTCAGCTGGTCAGAGAAATCCCAGAAACGCTACACGGCCAAGGTCAGGAACAACAATCTGTCCCACTGCACACCGCCACAGGCAACATGATGCCTGTGTGCTCTACGACACATGTAAAGTAAACCCAAGCTGACTTTAGCAACTACATACGTTCATGCACAACCCTTTTGGAAATCAGCACGTGAAGCCTCCCCAAATGAAAGGGTCACAACTCTGAAGAAATCTGGGACCGGCCAACTACAATGTGAATTGGTGACAGCTGCACAGTCACCTTGCTAATACAAAATGCACTTCTCATCATGCGGGAACATGAGAAACAGAAACCTTTAACTGCTTTTGCTAAAGCGATCACCTGAGGCTTAGCAAGACGTGAAATAAGCATGAGTGCTGGGCTGACAGCGAGACAGGACAGATGGCAGACTGGTCACCCTTCAGAATGAGGAGATGTGAAGCCAGAATTAGAGACACTTCTTCTCTGCATACTAACATGTTTTTTCTTTACTGGCCTTTGTTAATTTACCATTTTTATTTTCAGATAAGCAGTGTTAAAAGTTTGGGTTTACTGATTTCATGTTTTAAAAGTTGCTTTAAAAACCTCAGGGTCCCTTGTCACGAAAAGCACAATAATGATGTCCATACTTCCGTGGACATTATTGTATGTGTTTCTCATTACTGGACAACTTAAATTTCTGAAACTTTATTACAAAGCCACAACTTACAAAGTTGGTGCTGAGCCACTGTCTGTGAGAATGAGCCTGGGATGCTGCTGAATTGTGATGGGAGAGCTGGAGCCCGACCCCGAGCTTGCAGACGACACGCTGGGTGGGCTCCTCTCAGCAAGATAGTCGGGAGCAGGATCCACCTGAAGTGGGAGCTGGTGAATGTGGATGTCGTCAGTGACGGGGGGGTCCATGATACCACACGTGAGGATGTGTGAAAGGCTGCAGTCATCGCAAGCACATCTGATCAGGAATTAAGGACAGTTACCAAGCCAGCCAACGCAGAAGACTAGACCACGCTCTCTAAGGGTCGGTTCTGGGCCTCCGCTCAGCCCAGTGAAGGTTTCACAGGCCCGCCGCGCCAGCACCACAATCCAGGCTTACCTTCTCCTGTAGTTGCAGTTGGGGCAGTCGGGCATGCTAAGCCGGGACGACAACATGTGCCTCATGGTGTCCGTGAAGTTGTTCTCGCCAGTAACTGCTTTCTTATTGGTTAACTAGAGGAAATTTTAAAATGCTTTAATCTTGCAAGACCCTTCCCCAAGACATGGCTCATTATTTTTCAGTAATTCTGCTAACATGTATCATGTTCACAGACACTGCTTCCTCAGCGGGACAGGACCAGGAACAGAGGGGCAACAGACCTGGAGGTGGTAGCAAGCAGGGGGCTGAGCCACAAAGGGCTCAGGTACCAGGAAACCCTAATCGCTTTTGTCTTCAGCAAACATGCTGCAGTGCGCCCTCAGAGCAGACACCTGCTGCAGACACCCGGCCTTTACCCTGTCTGCCATGTGCTTGGTACTTGCAAGGTACTGAGAACAGAGCTGTAGGAATGAAAACTGGTACGTGGAGGGCAAGGGGTAGGCCTGGGAGCTATTGACGAAATGGCGTCTCAACTTCCAATAGACAAGGTGAGCATCTGCATTTCAAAGAAGAACTCCGGACCCACTCTGGCAATGGGACAGGTGGCAGCTGGAAGGGCCACTCAAAAGGACAGGATGACCAGGCAAGGTGGCTCACGCCTGTAATCCCAGCACTTTGGGAGGCAGAGGCAGGCGGATCACCTGAGGTCAGGAGTTTGAGACCAGTCTGGCCAACACAGTGAAATCCCATCTCTACTAAAAATACAAAAATTAGCCAGGCGTGGTGGCTGGCACCTGTAATCCTAGCTACTCGGGAGGCTGAGGCACAAGAATCGTTTGAACCTGGGAGGCAGAGGTTGCAGTGAGCCAAGTTCACGCCACTGCACTTCAGCCTGGGTGACAGAGTGAGACTTTGTCTCAAAACAACAACAAAAGCACAGGACACATGCAGAATGGGGAAAGGGAAGAGGTGAGCATGCCAAAACACTGGTGCCATCTGTATACCTGTGGTGCCCAGAGGAGACCACAAGCATGTAAATGTGGAGACAGGCATGGGGTCAAGGCCAGGGAACCACCAATATTTGCAGAAAGGCCAATGAAGTTGGAGTTCGTAAAGGAGATGGAGACAAGTGGCAGAGAACAGGAAGAGAGTCGGTGTGACACGTGGATGGGAGATCAGAGGAAGCCAAGTTTCCAGATGAAGCCAAGGGCCCCAAGACCAGATACAGGATGTTGCTAGCAAGCTCTGCCAAACAGTATCAGCAAAGGTGGAGCACAAACCTGCCTGGAGGAGGCACTGCCAGGAAGTTGAGGAAGGGAGAGTCCAGATCTGCCAGCTGCCATGTTGAAGGCACTGCGCCTGGCACTGTCTGGAGGTTTGAGCACTCTGTCTGGGGATGCTGGGCCCCCATCCCAGCTCTGGGACATCAAGCGACATCCTTAACCTCACCCTATCACCCTCATTCGTATGTAAACTGCAGATGACACCACCTGCCTCATAAGGGACTGTGGGGACTCAGGTAATATCCTTTGCAAAATACCCAGGGCTGCTGTGGGATAGAGGGGCCGCTCAATACACATGGGTTTTTCTTGAGGCGTATGTGGAAAATAAGGAAATAGGTGAACAAAATTAGTTTATCTTGAGATTAAAAACACCATCTTGAACAGTTTTTAATGCTGGCAGCACATGCCAGTGTGGTCCTCCAATGCTGTTCTAACGGAGCACATCAACGTGTAGAGAAGTCATTTGCTGTCAGGACAGATTTCTACTTCCTTTAATTGCCTCTCTTATTGACAAGCTTACCTGTTCTTCAATGAATCTTCTTTGTTTAAAAAGCTCCCAGTCTTCTGTTAACATGCGCTGCTTGGTTTTCATTGTCATCTAGTAACAGGATGTAAAAAAAAAAAAAAAAAAGAAAAACCTTAATACCTGCGACAATTATACAAGACACTTTCACGAGGAGATTTTCTTAAAATGATATATATATATGAGAAACATCATCTGCAAACAATAAAGATACAATACTACAAATATGTTAACAGGTATTTCTTTGTTTTACTCAGTCATCACAAGTACTTTTCTCACACGAAAGAGATGAATAAACATTAAAAAAAGAAATTAAGATATTCTGACTAAATCTGACAATACAGTGGATGAACATTCACTATTTACTGAATGCCCATTATGTGCCCTGAATGTGTTAGAAATAAGCAAGATGATGGCAACTTGGTCCTGCCACACGAAGAGCTCAGACTACAGGAAAGGAAGAGCTATTAACAGGCATATGAGACTTAAGAAGCAAAGCAAAGCAAAACTAACGAAGTAGGAAGGAATTAAAGGCAAAAAGAGACATTACTGAGAACACAGAGAAGCAAATGTGATTAATAAAACCGAAAGTCAGTTCTGTAAACTTCTGCCAAGGCTGAAAAAAGGGGAAAAAGGTAACATAAAAAAAAAAAAAAAAAAAAAAAAAACCAGGATTGAGAAAGGATATGGGTACGTATGAAGACTGTTTTGTTTTGTTTTTTGAGACTGAGTCTCGCTTTATCACCCAAGCTGGAGTGCAGTGGTGCAATCTCGGCTCAATGCAACCTGTGCCTCCTGGGTTCAAGCGATTCTTGTGCTTTAGCCTCCTGAGTAGCTGGGATTACAGGCGACCACCACCACGCCCAGCTCGTTTTTCTATTTTTATTAGAGACGGTGTTTCACCATGTTGGCGAGCCTGGTCTTGAACTCCTGGCCTCAAGTGATCCACCTGCCTCGGCCTCCCAAAGTACTGGGATTACAAGCATGAACCACTGCACTCCCTGGCCAGAAGGCTGTTTTTTAAACTATGAGACAAAGTATCTTTTTAAGTTGATACTTTGCAGTATCTAAAGAAGAGTTGCAAACAAGGGGCTCACAGGCTGTTTTGTCCGACTTGCACAATGCCTTTTAAAAAAAATTTTCAAGATTTCACCTAATAATCCAGATTTCTGGCTTCTCTTGACAACTCGGCGGCTCTGGTGGCCCTGTGAAGACTGCTGGACCCAAGTGGGGCCTGCCCCTAACAGAGAACAGGAGAACACATGCACGCACACCCAGGTGTGGCCTTCACTACCCATGCCCCACGCTCCACCAGGGCCTATCCCAACTGAGGGCACTTTCTAAGGTGAGGGTGGTGATGGCCATGAGCACCACAGGAACTCTGGGGCTGCTCTACCCCATATCATCCATTTCTGTGACTTTCCCTAGCCCTGCAGGTGTGAGCTTACAACCCTTTACTAAATGATGTGGATAACTTCTTGAGCCAAATTCCATTTGTAAAACTGACTCGACATAGAAGGAAACTTGAGATAGACTAATAAATGTCATATACATGAAAAAGGCAGACAAGATCTATAGTTCTTGTTATTCTTCCCTGTAAAAATGAATTAGGCCCCAAAGTTTTACGGTAGGTTCTATCAAATCCTTTATGGGACAGAAAATTTAAACTATTCCCGAAAACTGCAAAAACGCAGAGAGTTTCTCAATGCATTCTATGAAGCTAGCACAACCTTTATACAAAACAAGTAAGACCTCAAAGACCAAGACAACTCAATTATACCTCAGAATACAGATATAAAAGTCCTAGCTGGATGCAGTGGCTCACACCTGTAATCCCGGCGCTTTCGTAGGTCAAGGTAGGAGGATCACTTGAGGCCAGGAATTTGAGAACAGTCTAGATAATAAGGTAAGACCCCCATTACTACAAAAAATTTCATTTGTTTGTAAATAAAATTATCTTTGAGACAAAGTCTCTCACTCTGTCACTTAGGCTGGACTACAGTGGTGTGATCACAACTTACTGTAGCCTCAACCTCCTGGGCCTGTGATCCTCCCACCTCAGCCTCCCAAGTAGCTAGGACCACAGGCACACACCACCACACCTAATTTTTTTTTTTTCCTTGTAGAGATGGGGTTCTCCCTATGTTGCCCAGGTTGGTCTCAAACTGCTGGGCTCAAGCGATCCTTCTGCTTTGGCCTCCCAAAGTGCTGGAATTACAGGTGCGAGCCACTGCACCAAGCCAAAATTTAGCTGGCACACTGGCACGTGCCTATGGTCCCAGCTACTCAGGAGGCTGAAGTGGGAGGATAGCTTGAGCCCAGGGGTTCGAGGCTGCAGAGAACTAATATCTTGTCATTGCACTCCAGCCTGGCCAGCAGTGTGAAACCCTGTCTCTAAAAATAATTTTATATAGCTGTCCAAATACACATACACACACACATACACAGGCGCACACACGTCCTAAATCAAATATCAGCTAACAAATTTAATAATGGAATAAAGAATGACATATCATGATCTACTAGCGTTTCATCCCAGGAATGCAAGAATGTGTCAAAATTAGGTAATCTAAACTCTTAATTCATATAGAAATTGATATAAGAAAAATCATACCACCAATTTTGACATCTTCCTGTTTTATTTTTTAAATGATAGCCTAAATAAACTAGAAATAAAAGTAAACTTCTTTAATTTGCTAGAAAGTATCAAAAGTCTGTATGGCAAGCATCAAACTTCATGGTGAAACACTCACAGCAGCCCCTCGAAGCCAGGACTGGACAAGGGTGCCAGTATCAATGCTCTTATTCACACTGGTCTGAAGGTCCTAGTGGAAGCCAAAAAAAGGGGACAAATGCTGGAAAAGATGAGATAAACCTATCATTATTTGTAGAAGATACTGTGATTTCCTAGACTCCCAGATTCAAGACTCAACTCAAAAACTACAGGAGTTAATGCTGGCATCTGGCGAGACAACTGGTCACAGGGCATCTCCATTTTCCCAGTTTCCAGCATGAACGCTTTAAACACACATTCCCCGCTCAAGATGCCGGTCATAGTAGCCCCTCAAACTACAGACTATGGAGGCAGAAAATGGGTCAAGATTTACAAACTATAAAACCATAATACAAGATATTTTTTAAAACCTTAAAAAAGAGTGACATACCATATTCTTGGATGGGAAAATTCAATATGGGTGCCAATTCTCCCTTTTCACTGTATATGTCTGCAGTTATTGTAAAATCTTAGCGTAGAGCTTAAGAGTTGTTTGATAAATAACATCAATTAAAACCTCTACCTTGACTCCTTACAGCTTCTGGGAAAAATTTTTTTTTTTTTTTTTTTTTTGGGGTAACATATTTGGGTACTTGCAGGCTTATGTATGTGTCAAACAACAAAGAATGAATTTTAGAAAGCAAACATAAAAATAATTGATTTCAAACTTCCAGCCTGGGCAACATGGTGAAACCCCATCTCTACCAAAAATACAAACAAAAAAATTAGCCAGGCATGGTGGTGTGTGCTGTGATCCCAGCTACTCTGGAGGCTGAGGTGGGAGGGCTGCTTGAGACCAGCTGGTGGAGGTTGCAGTGAGCCCAGATGACACCACCGCCTAGGTGAGAGTAAGACTCCATCTCAAACAAACAAAAACCTACCACTCTCTTGCCACATACATACATATTTGTGAACAGAGACTCAATTATTTTACATGTATTCAACATTTTAAAACCTTTGAATCAGTATAAAATTTCGAAAATGTTATTAGAAGCAACCAATGTTCATTCAAAGGTTTTAAATTAAATGGCGCATTACAATGGCTCCAGTGGAGAGTGGAGTGGCCACAAACCAAGAACTCCAGGGGTCACTGCAGCCGCCCCCAAAGCTTTCAGGGGAACACAGCCCTGCTAACATACTGATTCTGAACTTTTGGCCTCGAGAACTGTGAGCATAAATTTCTGTTGTTTTCAGCTCCCTCCAACCTCCCACCCATGCATACGTGGTTCCAGAATGACTATTATTCTCTGGATGTTACTAAAGTGGCTCAATTTCCCTCAATTGTATTAGTGGCAGATTGTTTCTCATGGTTTCTTCAAAAGAGAGTGAAAATAAAAACGCATCTCCTGGCCAGGTGTGGTGGCTCACGCCTGTAATTTCAGCACTTTGGGAGGCTGAGGTGGGTGGATCATGAGGTCAAGAAATCTAGACCATCCTGGTCAACAGGGTGAAACCTTGTCGCTACTACAAATACAAAAATTAGCCGGGCGTGGTGGCGCATGCCTGTAGTCCCAGCTACTCGGGAGGCTGAGGCAGGAGAATCACTTGAATCCGGGAGGCAGAGGTTGCAGTAAGCCAAGATCACGCCACTGCACTCCAGCCTGGCGACAGAAAGAGACTCCGTCTCAAAAAAAAAAAAAAATCATCTTCTGGTTCTTTTAGTGAAGAGACTGATTTTCTCTTTGTAAAAACGATGTAACATGCAATTTTAAAGAAATACACTTTACTTTTTAAGTGACACTGTATTTTTTCCCTAGAGAGAATATGTATATGTTATTTTTACATATATACGATCTTTCCTGGAACAACAGCAATATATAATACCATATATAATAGTTCAAAATAAATGTTTAACTTCAAGAAACAGATACATCAAGAAATTACTACTCCCAAAGGATTTTTCAGTCTTAGTAAAGGAATTTCCTTAAAGGCATTTTTGCGTTTCGTTACAGTTCAATTGGAGAAATGAATCTCTGAAACTAGAACTTTATCTGCCATTTCCATCACATGTGGAACTAAGGACAGCACCCCAGGCTCCTAGGGGCAGGATGTTATGCTACTTAGGCCACCGCTGACCTAAACCCCAATAGGCCTGCCTGAGGCCCTCGGGAGCCTCCTCCCACCTGCAGATGTGGTAACACCAGGAAGCAGTAGTGAGGCTCTAGCCACACTGGGTTTGGCCCAGCGCTCAGTAAGGGTTCATCTTCCTTCTCTTCCATCTCTTCCCCTATGTTATCACTAACTATACTATTTTTCTGAAGTCACCTGAAGGTTACAAGTTATTCACAACCTCAGAAACTTATATTGACACATGATGGGAAAGCCAGGTGATATGGCTTAGATCTCATGTCAAACTGTATTCCCCAATGTTGGAGGTGGGGCCTGGTGGGAGGTGATTGGATCATGGGGTCAGATTTCCCCAAAGGTGCTCTTCTAGGGATAGTGAGTTCCCAGGAGATCTGGTTGTTGTTTAAAAGTGTGTAGCACCTCCCCACCCTGCTTCCTCCTACTCCGGCCATGTAAGATGTGCTGGTTTCCCCTTCCCCTTCCACCATGATTGTAAGCTGCCCGAGGCCTCCCAGCCATGCTTCCTATACAGCCACAGAACCGTGAGCCAATTAAACTGCTTTTCTTTATAAATTATCCAGTCTCAGGTATTTCTTTATAGCAGTGCAAGAATGGACTAATCCACCAGGGATGAATCAAGTGAACAGCGTCAATTCTACAGAAGAAAAACACCAAATGCAGGAGAAAGGGAGGTGGGAGTTCCACGCAGAAAAGCTTCCAGACTCAAAGCTTCTCCACAACAGGCCAGCATCTCCTGTTCAACACCAGGACAGGAACCACTGACACACGCAAATCACCGTTGTTGACAGGCAAAGCTGATGTGCACTTAGGCTTGCAGACAGGTGCCTCCCCTGAAGGGTACTCTGCAAATCCCTAGGAAACAATGAGTGCCAGGCACAGAGGCCACCAGCCCCAGTCAGGGACAGATGTGTCCCTGAAATGAAATCTGAGATGAGACCTCATGGTCACCTAGTCCAAACACCTCTCCAACTATTCTCCACATTCCCTATCATGGGGAACTCATCTCCACACTACAGCCCACTCTGCCTTCGAACAACCCTTGCAAGGGACTCTTTCTGATCACACACATCTACATGGGGTCTAGACTCTGCTCCCGGGGGCTGTCTGGGACAAACTCAATGTTTGCTTCACACTGGTCATTTCTTGACCGCTCAGGCCAGCAACCTCAAGTCCCTTATGCTTCCCTGCCAGGGGTGTCCAGCCTGGTCAGAGGTGTCCTGAGGACATGCAGCGAGGCTGCCACCACCCTGATTACAGACCTTCCACGTCTGCCCTGTGACATCACATCAACCTGTTACATTGATATGGTTCACCTTTGTCCCCACCCAAATCTCATGTCAAATTGTAATTCCCACATGTTAGGGGAGGAACCTGGTGGGAGGTGATGGGATGATGGGGGCGGATTTCCCCCATGCTGTTCTCATGATAGTGAGTTCTCACAAGATATGATAGCTTAAAAGTGTGGCATTTCCCCTCTTGCTCTCTCTCTCCTGCCACCACGTAAGACGTGCATTGTCTCTTCTTCTCCTTCTGCCATGATTATAAGTTTCCTAAGGCCTCCCCAGCCATGAGGAACTGTGAATCAATTAAACCTCTGTTCTTTATAAATTACCCAGAATCACGTAGGTTGTTTTTTTCCTTCTTCTTTGAGACGGAGTCTCGCTCTCGTTGCCCAGGCTGGAGTGCAATGGCATGATCTCAGCTCACCCCAACCTCTGCCTCCCAGGTTCAAGCGACTCTCCTGCCTCAGCCTCCTGAATAGGTGGGATGACAGGCACGCACCACCACACCTAGCTAATTTTGTATTTTTAGTAGAGATGGCGGTTCGCCATGTTGGTCAGGCTGGTCTTGAACTCCCGACCTCAGGTGATCCGCCCACCTTGGCCTCCCTAAGTGCTGGGATTACAGGTGTGAGCATCGCACCTGGCCTCAGGTAGTTCTTTATAGCAGTGTGAAAACAGACTGATATGCCCACCCCTCTGGGTCTGATGACACTCTCCAGTGGATTCATCAACACTCAGCTTCTCCATCTGCACATCTGTTACTGCTACAAACACTAACAAGACTGTGGAGGAGGGCCCTGACACAGTGTTCTCTGGGCCAAAGGCAAATACCACCATTGCTGCCATTATAGTGTACTGTGGGCAGCTATCCATGCCTACTCAGAAGGTGCTTGGGGCACCTCTTTTTTTAAGAGGTCCTTGGTAAAGGCAGGCAGGATCCTATGCACTTGGGAGGTTTCAATGACCTAATGCAATACAACTTGACTGCAACTCATGCTGGCAAGACAGAGACTCAGCAGGTGACACTATGTCATCAACGGAGACACTCTTGGATTAAGGACCCTTTCACGTGCTTCCCACAAGCAGCCTCTCTGGGAGTCCTGAAACCCTGCCCTGCACAGTGGCCCTTCCCTGGGCTTCAGAGACCTGAGCTCCTATCTCTGCTCCCAGCCAGGGTGGTTGTGGCTTCTCACACCTCGCTCCTCTGTGAGGCCAGAGCAGATCAGCTTCACTCCCTCGAGCCCCAGTGACAAAGTGAGCCAGGAAGAAAAATCGGCCTCTCGCCTTTTGTTTTTCCTTCTCAAGGTCTTTCCTTCACAGTGTCTGCTGATGACCTGAGATCTCACTGCTCCTCCCCTCCTCTGTACTCTCAATAAACCACCCTGCTTAGGTGCCATGGGATGTGCTCCAGAGCAGTGGTCCCCAATCTTTTTGGCACTAGGGATCGATTTCATGGAAGACAACTTTTCCACAGACCAGGTGAGGCAAGTGGATGGTTTCGGGATGATTCAAGTTCATAACGTTTACTGTACACTTTATTTCTATTATTACTACACTGTAATACACGATGAAATAATCATACAACTCACCCCAATGCACAATCAGTGGAAGCCCTGAGCTTGTTTTCCTTCAACTAGATGGTCCCATCTGGAGGCGATGGGAGACAGTGACGGAGCAGCAGGCATTAGACTCTCATGAGAAGTGTACAACCCAGATCCCTCGCACGCGCAGCTCACAATAGGGTTTGTGCTTCTATGAGGATCTAATGTCTCTGCTGATCTGACAGGAGCTGGAGTTCAGGCAGTAATGCAAGGCATGGGGAGTGGCTATAAATCCTGACAAAACTTCCCTTGCTCACCGGCCACTCACCTCCTGCTGTGCAGCCTGGTTCCTAACAAGTCATGGACTAGTACTGGTCTGTGACCCAAAAGTCGGGGATCCCTGCCCTATAGGGTACCCAGTAACCAGCGGCCCACAGTACAATACCAACACAGGGACTATTTACTGTCCCTATGCCTATATATTTTTTTCATTTTTTGAGATACGGTCTCACTCTGTTGCCCAGGATGGAGTGAGGTGGCATGATCATAGCTCACCACAGCCTTGACCTCCTAGGCTCGAGCGATCCTCCCATCTCAGCCTCCGAAGTAGCTGAAACCACAAGTGCACGCTACCATGGCCGGCTAATTTTTGTATTTTTGTAGAGACAAGGTCTATCTATGTTGCCCAGGCTGGTCTCAAACTTCCGGGCTTAAGTAATCCACCTGCCTCAGCCTCCCAAAGTGCTGGGAATACAGGTATGAGTCACTGAGCCTGGCCGTTTTCTTTTTGTTTTTGTTTTTTTTTTTTGAGACAGGGTCTCACTCTGTCACCCAGGCTACAGTGCAGTGGCACCATCATAGCTCACTGCAGCCTCGAACTCTTGGTCTTAAGTGATCCTCCCCTGGTCAGTCTCTGGAGTGGCTGGAACCACAAGCACATGGCACTAAGCCTAATTTTTTGTAGAGACAAAGTCTCACTATGTTGCCCAGGCTGGTCTCAAACTCCTGGGCTCAAGTGATCCTCCCACCTTAGCCTCCTAAAGTGCTGAAATTACAAGTGTGAGCCACTGCACCTGGCCAGTTTTGCTTTTTAAAAATAACACACAAAAAACTTATTTGGAATCAAAAGCTCGTGTAAAACTAAAACATCACCTAATGTCATTATCTCATTTTGCAGGTGGGAAACTAAGACTAGGGAGGGAAAACACTCAGAGGGCAGATCCAGGACTGCATTCCGGTGTTGACTGCCATGCAGGGTTCTCCCTGGGACCCAAGTCAAGAACATCCCAGGGAGTGGTGACCTGGACACACTACTGGCCCTCCTGCACGGCCACAGGCCAAAGAGCCTGTGCTCAAGATGCCCACTTCCTGGAGCAGGTTAATGCCCACTATTCTAGCTTCCCCCAACTCCTGCTCCCTCTACCAGAACAGCAAACTTGTGAAAATCGGCTGGTACACCCACAGATGGCAGAGGGGAATGCAGCTTTCAGCGCCTTCTCTGCTGTGCTGTCCCCACATGGCACAGCTGCAGCCCCTGGGATGCTCCAGGCCTCACGAGATGAAGGCTGCTGAGGTGCTGCTGCAGTGGGAGACTCTGCCCTCCCCACCTGGCATCCAGACCCTGCTCTCACAGTAGTCAGGCTAAGAAGTCGCTGGTCAGTGACAAGCCACAGCTGGAAAGTCTCTGGTTGCAAAAACAGACAAAAACATGAATTAGGAATACACCCACTTTGAAGAAAACACAAAACAGCAACTGCTCTCTCAGGCCTCACCATGAGGCTCAGGACACAGAGGGAGTCTCCCAGGACCAAACTGACCTCGAAGGCCCCTTCTCACCCTGATGTGCTGTGCGTACAGCGGCCGAGGAAGAAGCGCAGACAGAGTCATGGGAGAATCTCAGGGCCACCCGCCCTAAGACAAGCTCAACAGCACAGAATTCCGCATGTGACAAAGCTGGAACTTATTCCACTGAAGCTGATGAAGGTTCAAAAAAAGCCAGCAGGCCAGGCGCCGTGGCTCACAAATGTAATCCCAGTACTTTGGGAGGCTGAGAACGCAGAAGAATGGAGTAGGAGAAAACCCGCGAAAATCCAAACAACAGACCATTTGTAGCTCTAGTCCCTGTAACTGCAGTAGAGAACAGCAACAGAAAACACGGCCTGTAACTGTGAAATCAGTGACACGCTTCTCGGGAGCAGTGAGCACATGCTAGTCCCTTCCTTCTTCCAGTCCCTCACAGCACTGACAAGGAACACTGACAAGGAGCCACGGCTGGCATCCACGTGGCACTCACCATGCCAGGGCAGACATGGAAACAGCGCATGTCTTAGGCTAGAGCCCAGGTTCCATTTTCCCACAGAGAGTCTCCAAAGTGCAACAGATAAATAACTCAGTCACTCCTCCTTTACCGCTGCTCACACTACTGTCATCTTTAAACCAGGGCCGCTCTCAATTCCTTCCTGGCCCAACCCCGCTTTAGGAGAGCAGGCAGGCCAGGGGTGAGAAAGAGGGGGCGCCATCTCAAAGCCCTGCTCTGTCTGAGAGGCTTGGGCTACCTGAGCACCTTCCCTTCAGATCCACCTCCAGCAGATGCCCTCCCTCTTCTGTCTTCCACCTCATCAGCCACCTGCCACCTGTGCATGTGTCTGCACTCCTTTCTAGACTAGGACAGATGGACAATGAGCTCTCAACAGCAGAGTGCTCAGTAAATGGCTCCTGGTCTTAAAAAATCTCCTACCTGGACCAGGCTTGGTGGCTCACACCTGTAATCCCAACACTTTGGGAGGCTGAGGCAGGCAGACCACCTGAGGTCGGGAGTTCGAGACCAGCCTGATCAACATGGAGACACCCTGTCTCTACTAAAAATACAAAATTAGCTGGGCGTGGTGGCACATGTAATCCCAGCTACTTGGGAGACTGAGGCAGGAGAATCACTTGAACCTGAGAGGCAGAGGTTGGGGTGAGCCCAGATCTCACCATTGCACTCTAGCCTGGGCAACAAGAGCGAAACTCCATCGCAAAAAAAAAACACACACACACACACACACACAACAAAACCTTCTACCTGGGGTGCAGAGCCTGGGCGACAGCCTGTGTGAGTGATAGTGATAACGTGGGTAATGCCCCAGGGCCCAAGAGGCAACGCTGACCAACTGCCACCTGCTGCCACCCATAACGCTCAGGCACTAGGAGGCCCAAGCCATCTGTGTGGCCAACAGAGTTCATCCCGTCTGAAACGCAGGCAGGCTGGCTCGCAACACAGGGGGCCTACCCAGCATGCGGCCTCTGCGGGCCTGCTAGTTCGGGATTCCTTGCTTGCGCTCAGGACAACAAAGCTAGTG